TAAATATGCAGGAATGTTTGACTGCTTAGGTATAACCGCCGCAATCAATGACTCGGTGACAAGCTGAATCGACATTACATTTTGTGTATACTTTATTCATGCAATGTGAACATGGTAAAACAGTTGAGACAATGTGCAATAACTTGAACGGTGAAAGTAGGAAGAAACAGTGTAGCAAAAATCTATGTGAGTCAATAAGAAGCCTTCTTCCGGAGTGATAAGGTACAGTAGTCAGTATGGACTACGGTGGCATGTGCATGTGCTAGTAACGACGGTTACGTTACATGTACATGTACCTACATATTGTTAGATTAATAATAATAATAATAATTCGCGGGTTAGATTGACAGCATGAAACTATAACAAGGTTGATCTAATACTACACTGTAGTTCTGAACTAGCATTGGGTTAGCATTGGGTTAGCATTGGGTTAGCATTGGGTTAGCATTGGGTTAGCATTGGGTTAGCATTGGGTTAGCATTGGGTTAGCATTGGGCTAGCATTGGGTTATAATATTATAACATGTACCTACATGTGCAGTGTCACCCTGTCTAAGACGGTAACACCTGTAAAGGCAACCACTCCGATAAGGCGACCACCTGTCCCAGGAGTCCACTGCAATCAGGACCAAGGGATGCTATTTCCAGTCAAATTACCCTGGATAAGGAGACCACCTGGTAACAGAGACCACGTAACTCGTTTTGAAGGTCTGTGGAGTGGTCGTCTTAGAGACAGGTTTCACTGTACATGGTGTGTGTGTGTGTGTGTGTGTGTGTGTGCGTGCGTGCGTGTGTGTGCGTGGCATGTGTGTTTGTGTGTGTGTGCGCGTGTATGTGTGTGCGTACATGTGTGTGCGCGCGTGTGTGCGCGCGTGTGCATGTGCGCGGGAGGGGGGGGGGATTCAATGACGTGTTTGATCAGGTTGTACTGCAAGTAGCCTTTTCAATAGCTTTGCCATAATGCTCGAACTTTTGGTAGATTCTGCTCGAAAAGGAGTGAAATTGGCAGAACCATAAAAAGCTTTGAAAAATTATGGGAGGCAATTCCTCGAATTCTGCCCCTAGGCCCTCTTCTGCATCCATAATTATACAAGTACAAGTGCCAAATATGCATGAGATATACCCAAGATACCCGAATCGGAAAAGTACAAAGCCGAAAGTTTTGCTGGATTTTCTGCCGGAACTGCCAAGGACTAGTGCGGGGATGAGATGGTTGTCAAGCAGAATGCAGATACCGCTCTTTATGCGCTGGATTCTCCAAGAAGATCATCAGTCCAATCAACATCAGCATAGGCAATTTCATTGTAGCTCTGTCTTGATAGTCTGGGTCACCAAGCAGTTGCTGGGAGGTCGTTGAAAACTGACAATGGAATGTTGTTGACTGGGAACATATCCAGGGCTAGGCTAGTAACCTCGCCGGTCAGGTCACGTTCAAGAAGCTTCCACATGGTGAACATGACTTGCTGCGGGAGTGACATGATTGTGGCTATTTTCTGACTGGGCCCTTGTGGAAGCATTGTGTTGGTGAGTGAGGACAACTGGGACTAGAATGGCTACACTGGTGCAATCACGTGAAATATGCAAATGATCAGAGTCCACACAGCCAGGTAAACTAGTGAAGGGCTCTTGCTAATCACCACTGAAGTGACATTCGATCCACAAGTAGTTTACATATACAGAAGATGTCAGTACATATAATTACACATGTACCAACATTCTTCCAGTGTCACTACAAGTAAGATATTAAAGGTGTACAACCTGTCTTCTCTGTATTGGGCGGGTGATGGATACAGGATGAAACACCAGCCTGGGTAAAGAGTGCTGTCCACACACTAGGCTCCGGCGGATTATGCCCGCGAAATCATGGAATTATGCTTTCATGGATTCTCGCATTATGCTCGCAAAATGCTCATAAATATGTATCCCCGCGTGCCAAAGCATAATATTATTATGCTTTGGCACGTGGGGATACATATTCACTTTGTTGTACTTATGGAGCCCCAAAGTTCGGAAAATTATGCCTTTTTCGTACTTGCAAGTGGTCACAAGTACAACACAATACATGAGTATCCCCATACTGTGACCAAGGTGTCCATGCATGCTAGAGATCAACCTGGAAAATGGAAAACATTACTTCTTCTATTCATTAGTTGACTTCTTTTGCTTTGAAAGATTTTTTCATTGCCAAATTAGTTTGAGTTACCTTTGAAAACTGTCATGTTCAACTGTCTTCGTAATCGTCATACTCCTCCAACCGATGTCACCCTAACCCTGCGAATTCTTGTAATCAGCTCATCTCTCCCGTAGGTCCAGCTCTCCTTCCATCATGACCGAACATCAACAAACATACTATACCTCAATTTGTATATTACTAGAGCAATATCCATAGCATGCACAGTCATAGCTGCTAAGATCCAGACGTCATGACTTCGTAACAAGCATAGTGTACATGTACGCGGAGTTTTGCGGACTACCCGTCACTATCTCGCTGGCATCTTCTGCTACATGTACTGTATCAGGGTGAGAAAGAACTACATGTTCTTCAAGTAGTTACTTTGAAAAAGAAGAGTTCGAGCACAAAAAATGTATTGCCCTGCTTTTCATTGAAAACACTATCTGCATGACCTCCGAACCCTTTACCATGCAGACCACCAGCACTGATCAGGTGCATTGTTCACAATTGTGTCGCCTACATAACTGTGATACAATCATGCAGTTATGCTCCTACCTCCGAAAGGATGCCAAATTATGCTCCAAATTTTCAACCACCAAATTATGCCAATAATTATGCCGGCATAATCCGCCGGTGCCTACCACACACACTCGGGGCATCTCAGCGTGGGTACCCTGTCAAAAGGCCTTAGGCCTGTGGGGATTGCCCTATCAAAAATTTAATAATAATAATAATAACGTGCAACGCATTATTATTATTATTATTATTTATTTATTTATTAAATTTTTAATAGGGCATTCCCACAGGCCTAGGGCCTTCTTACAGGGTACCCTTTATGTTTTTGTAGGGATGAGCGGAAGTCTGATAGCGTGGAGCAAATACGAACAGAAGCAGGGAGCATTAGAAGGGCACTGCACTGCGCACTGCTGAGTAAGACACGTGGAAGGGGGTTCCTTGGCTTTGGTACGTATATGTATGAAAGCCTGCTGAGTCAGGCTCCAGGGCACTACTTGGTGAGTATGAGTGTTTGTGTACTTTAGTCTTGAGTCTTGAGAAGTGGTGAAATGTACCAGGAGTCAAAGTCAACTATTCGCATGTTCCAGTTGTTATCTAACAAAGGAGTGCGGATTATTCTAGGCAGGGTGCCTTATGGCTGAACACTGGCTCAGTTGCAGCCATAGTGTTGCAAGAGTCAGAAGATCCTAACAAACACAGCACATTGCCATTCTCATCAGTGCCAGAAACAAGTGGTGAACTGGTACACTATCCAGAGACAATTGTTATCGGTTTCTGCCACACATTTCCTTGTGGAATTCATACGATGCGAATGAGGTAATGCGAGCAAGAGACACGGTTTCAGCTTGCTCTTCGGGGGGGGGGGGGGGGAGAGAGAATCCTAGCCATGCTTGTTGGAATGGGAAAACACGAAGGTACCTGGACGGTACATTGTCATTGCGGACAGGCAGAGGGAGAGACAGAGAGAGACAGATAGAGAGACATATAGAGAGAGAGTGTGTGAGTGAGTGAGAAAGAGAGCGAGTGAGTGAGTAAGATAGATAGATAGAGAGAGAGAGAGAGAGAGAGAGAGAGAGAGTCAGAGAGAGAGAGAGAGAGAGAGAGAGAGAGAGAGAGAGAGAGAGAGAGAGAGAGAGAGAGAGAGAGAGAGAGAGAGAGAGAGAGAGAGAGAGTTATGAGCAATGGAGCAATAGTCATACGGTGTGTTCAAGTACTTCTTCATACGGTGTGTTCAAGTACTTCTTCATACATGTGTCATTCAGAATGCTGACTGTTAAGTTGGTTATACTCCCTGACAAAATTCCCAAAGTAAAATTTATTGGCATGCCGGGAACGGAAAACACGGGCTATTGTATACATAGGAGTGAGAACATGCGACCGTATTCCTCGCAACTATGACAGATTGTAAGGACACGCAAGGACCTGATATTTTGCTCCATTACATGTTTGTCTTGGAGTCCTCAGCTTGTTTTCATCTTCAGTGTGCTCACCCTGACCTGCCTGAAGGTACTGCACAGCCAAGAACAGGCTTGCAAGTGTTGGTCAGCGTATCCTAGACTCAACACAGCTAAATGTCACGTCATTGAATGCCAGTATCATCAGTCAGTAGTGTGCCAAACATCGCATGTTCTGTCTCCTCAGTATCATATTATAGTAGCCAAGACTTGGTGCACAGCTGTACACAACCAGTAAAGCGTAGGTACTTTCATTCCTTAAAAGTTTTATTCTTTCCTTCACATTTGAGGATATGACTGTAGTAGAGGTGGTTAGATTTTCGAGTTTTCGACGTTTCAAGCAGTCGGACTTCTGCAGCAAAGTAGTCAAACCTTGATCCTTCTCTCACGTTTTAAATAGCACCCTATTTTCGAAATAACCTAACCATGACATAGTCATACACATGCATAGCACCGAGGAAGAGTTTCCCACTCGTACTGGCTTGTGCGACTGTATAGTGTGCACGTGTCACCAACTGGGCGAAGCAGTAAGACCTGTGTTTGCCAGACCCCCAGTCAGCAGCCAGCGGAATTCTGTATTGACCAGACCGATTATTATTTTCATGCACCAAAGTGCAGTGGATCGATTGTGCGTCCCTGGTTCAAGCGGAATCCTGTCATATCAGAACAGTTTCCCCTGCACTAAGGGTGTCTGGTTTATACAGGTTTTACTGTACTTTGAAAGTTTCCCCAAACCTCGACTGTAGTTTCGACTCTCAAACCCAGTATTCGTCGAAACTAACTCCGAAACTCGAAATGCTGACCAATAATACAACTACAATCATGTACATAGAATGTTATTGCAAAGATTCTTCATACCTTGCATGCATCCGATCTGCAGTAGAGTGGAGCAAAGGAGGAGTGCCGTCCACGATCGCCTGGTCCTTCTCATGGTCGTTCTGAGAATCACCACGCACATTAGGCAGCGACACCAGTAGATCTACGTCGTTGAGGCCAGTCACACTGGAAACACGGCGGTCATGGCAGCTCAAACCAGCACATACTGCTGGTAATTACTGATGATCGGTGAACATGCGGCCGGTGGGTCGACACTTGGCTATGCTAGCGCTAGAAATGCGCTGGGAATCGCAGGTGCAAAGTACATGAACCCTCACCTCCAGCTCGACACGGTAAACTGCCGGCGGACGGGCACAGCGTCGACATTTTACCCGTTCAGCTCGATGGAGAGCATATGCACATGCACATCCTAGATCCTGTCCACGATACGACACGACGGAGTTGGGGATTTCTAAATCAAAACTCTCGCGTTGGCCGGACTAGTTTCCTGCTTGCGGAGTAGACCAGGTAGTACTGGTAGACGACAATCCTGCACCAGAAGCAAGAAAAATAATAGAGGCCTGTAGATCCTATATACTGCGACAGTGTGAGTAAACAAGTTACTTGAAAGCATCCCATCTCCCTCAAGCACCTGGGTCTAATGGTTCTGTCAACACTTAGCTGCCGCTGGCCTGATTTGAAGTAACGAACACTGGTACTTGGCTGAAAGCAGCTGAACAGTGAACGAACTTCTGTCAGGCCACACTGTTCGGGTGGTTGTTGGTAATGCTGACAGCCACAGGAATGATCCCAGAATCGTGACCGGTGAACGATCACGATTTCAGAGTCATTTTGTTGTTGACACACCTCAGCTCAGCGCCCCCGACTGTTGGATTTCCCTTCACACGACCAGGACGGTCGCAAGCACTGAACGCAGTGTCTGAACTATTACTACATTGTAGTTACTTCACTGCAGCAGGCGAATTCCGGCCGAGTCGATCGAGTCGTAGATCTACGAGCATGTGTGTCGTGATCATGGCGCGTGTGAGCCCGCGAATCCCTGGACTGGTCACAACGCTCCGACGTCCGTGCACTGGATCATCATGATCATGGGCCGGGGTGGTATGGAACCTGGCTGGAGACTAGACACGGCGGATAGTGTAGGTCTACTCCGAACACAGTCTGCGGCATAACACCTTGACCGCCGCCGACGATGTCGGCACTGCTACGTCCCGGGACGATCCCGTCGGAATGCATGGCCAATAGGCACCGGCGGATTCTGCTCCAAAAGGTGGCAGATTCTGCTCGAAAAGCAGTGAAATAAATTGGCAGAACCATACAAAACTTATGGCGGGCAATTCCTCGAAATCTGCTCCATTTCTTTATCCACATACCAAACATGCATGAAACTTACCAGAAAAGTTCCGAATTCTGCCAATTTTTCTGCCGGCATTATCCGCCGGTGCCTAATGGCCAAGCTGGCCTGATCCTCCTCCCGGTGAATCGCGGATTATACTCACACTGTATATTTAAAATTGTTGCTGTGTGACAGCCGAGGAACTTTTATCAGTGCACGAGCCGCCAGGTTGCAGCTGGAAGAGTTGGTCAGAGTTGCAGCTGGCTGAGTCCGAATGCAAATCTCCATTGCTCTCTACATGGACTACTACTAGTACTAGTACGTACATGTATCTAATATTGACTGAGTACGAGGTCAATAGGAAATAAAAGCCGAGTAAAAGACCGAGGCGAAGCCGAGGTCTTTTACGAGGTTTTTATTTCCTATACTGACCAAGTACGAAGTCAATATTAGATTTATCACGACAAACAGTCCGTATTTCAAATTCCAGAACGATAACCTCATGAATCCCGGTTTTATGATGGCACAACCGTTGCACCACCACCTACTCATGCAGTGACAATGCTGCACTAGGCACCGTTCAACTGCGCAACCCCCCCATAGCAGTCAAATATAAGCAGTCAAAATAGCCCTAAGGAGTGAAATATGCAGGAATATTTGACTGCTTAGGTATGGCAAAAATCTATGTGAGTCAATACTAAGGGAGTGATAAATCACGGTAATGGTCAATGCAGGGCTGAGGCTACCAGTATAATCAAGAGTACATACATGTAAACCTGTATTGTACTCTTGATTATTATTAATCTATTCCACTAGTGAGTACTACTAGTATTCCAGTGGACTTACACCAGCACATTCATCTACAATTGCAATACTTCAGGGACTTTACATGCAATAATAATATTATCCTGAACAAGGACAATACACTGTACAAAGTCAAAGTACTTTGTAGTGGATGATCGGTCGAACATGCAGCGTCAGACTATTAAAGCTTCAGGTGCTTCACAAGCAACAGTCCAAAGCTTCCAGGAGTACTTTTTGAAAAGAGTACAAGTCATGCACTTCTATTCCTTCTTATCAGGCGGAATACAGGCAGCATGGGTGTCAGAAACAGCAGAGAGGTGTTAGCGACAGATAAACGGTTCAAACAACAAGGTACTGAGGTAAAGTTCTTTATTTTTAAGCAGAACGTCCTGTACATACAAATGTGGAAGCAACGGTACATACTAGTAGCCGGAGGGAGGGGGGGGGGGTAATACAATGTAGGTGACTACACTGTATCTTGGGGTTTATGATTAGAAGGAATGACTACATGCACTCAAGTACATGTATGTATGACTGCCAAGGTGCAAGATGCCAAGAGTGCAGAAACCTAGCCAACCGAATCTCTGCAAGCAGAAGCAAAATTTAATAAAATTGATGATTCACACTTGGCCTGTTACGTGCAATGTGCATGTAGGTCATCAAAAACTGGTTACAATTAGTTACTACAATTCTCCATTGGTACTTTGAAGCAGTCACAATTACATGTATAGTACTATTGTTAGGCCTCTTCACCCTTGCACTTTTCCATTCCTTTCTAGGTGCTGAATATTTTTTTTAATCACATTCCGTGTTGTTTCTAGCTACTCGTCTTTGCGCTGTTTCTATAAACTCTCTGCTGTTTAAAATTCATTGTGCTTGCTCAGTTTCTTTTTATTTCCTGTATTCCAATTCGAAAGTACTGGCACGCGTGGACGACTTTGGAATATTGCTTGTGAAGAGCCTGACGCTTGTCCCTTTCCTCAGCCTAATTTTAAGAGCCTCATTGGCTACCCAATGTACGTCGCTTTGGCTACAAGTACAACCCTGCCAAGTGCTGCAAGTGCCGGTGAGTATGTACCGTTTCTAGTACTGATTACTGCAATACTGGGTATGCTGTAGGCCTAGCCCAAATTTGCTCGGGGCGCCATTTTGCTGGCAAATTTTGGCAAGCACTTTCCATATTTTGCCTGGCATTGCCTTTCGTTTCCGATATTTTGCTCCATTTTGCTCCTGCTTTGTGGCAAAAATGGCTTCGAATGAACCGTCCACTTTGGTAAAAGTGGATGGTGACTCTGATGAGGGAAGCAAAACTGAAAATGGTGTCAGTATTACGGATTTTGCAGCATGATTTCAAATTGATGTACCCCTGACAACCTGCAAGAGCTATTTTAGCACGACGTTGGCCCAGTGAAACCAAAGAAATTTGAATAAAATTGCCAAAACACACCTGGATCCTCTGTAAATTCGATATTTTGCTCGGAATTTGCCAGCAATTTCTTTTCGTGAGAAACTTCGATATTTTGCTGGAAGAATTGCCGGCAAATTTGGGCTAGGCCTAGTATGCTGTCGGGATAGCCACAGTCTGCTCCGCATCTGAAGCAAAAAGTTGCGGGGAAATCCCAAACCCGGTGCGATTTTGCATGAGCCCAAATGTTCAAGTTACCCACAAAGACGTAAGCTTTCCAACTCTCTTTGGCCGTTGGACAGCGTACCTTATTGTACCAAACTTGTCCATCATCGTTACAGTCATCAACATGGAGTCTAGTAGGATATTGGCTTTCGGTTTGTGACAGTTCGTTTTTTGCTTGGCTTCCCCTCTTTGTGTATTTTTAGTACCTTTGAGCCTCCCAAGTTGGGTGGTCGGTTGCCTTGTAGTTAGACCGGTTCGTCCAATGGTTACTAGTCTCGTAATCATCATCCCGTAACGTTTGACATTCTTTGTTGCCGAGGGACATAGCTCGTGCACATCTTCGTGGCGCATCCCTTCCCCTCATTGGAACTTTCCGCAACTGAGCCTTCCAAGTTGGAAGGTTGTTGGTTTGCACTTCGTAGATGTGTTGGAGCTAGGTGTCAGGTCGTCGAATGTCTCAATATCCTGTCAGTTCTGTGCCTCGTTGTCGCACTATCTGACTGTATAATTATTATCTCGTTACCTTGGTTACCTTGGTGGACTGTTACCAGGTTACCATAGTCATAACCAGTAACTTATACATGTAGGTCCTTTTCTCTTGACAAATTTATGAAAATCGTTCTATCATGCAACTGTTACTACTTGATAGAAAGAGGGGTTGCGATCTGGAGTACATCAACAGTGCAGTTCAGCTTCAGAATACTAGGTTTAAAAAAAGTACTATTGTACCAAGACTCCAGAGTACAGTCATGTAACCTCGCCCGGCGTTACTTGTACATGTACATCATGAGAGTAGTCTTGGTAACATGTACTGGTGCTACATTATTAATTTGAAACATTTTCCGAAGTGACAACAACAAGAACAAAGCTACAAATGCAAGGTGTGGTGGAGAAAGATCTGAACTTAAAAGTAACCTAAACAACTGTAGTTTACTTGCTGAAGTGCAGATGCCGGTCAGAACCTAAACAAAGGTTCTAGTATACCACTCTTCCACTATCATACTTTTCTTTATCGTGTAGCAAGGACTTCGAAGTATTGTATCAAACAGACTATCAGACAGACTACTTCTATTGTCTGCGTCAACTCGTATAGCTACATTTGTACATGATTGTACATGTACTGTCACTGTATCCTTGTGACCTGGCCATAAAGGGGTGGAAATTCAACATACTAGTACAATCACAATAATGATGATATTCTTGTTTGTATTAGTTTATGTGACACCATTTTCTATTTTTCTTTGCCTGCCTGCCTGCTGGCGGCCTTTTTTCGCATGGTTCGGTGCAAGCGAATTTGGGCGAGCCCATTGACGCGGGAGCACAAATAATAATAATAATAATAGTACAATCACAAAGGTCAAAAAGAATGGTTTCACCAATTATAGAAACATACGTTGTAACACCCATTCCCATAGCGCTGCATATCACATCCGAACCAGTTCCGTTATTTTTACAACGTTTCGGCACTTGGCCATCGTCAGGTAATAACAATGAATACCGTGGAAGCCACACAAGAGCAGTATATACGCAGAGTGTAGCGCCAAAAAAAGATGCGAATTATGTCACCTAGTATGCAGAAGGGGGGGGGGGGGGGACAGAGAGAGAGAGAAAAGGCGCAACTAGCACATCACGGAGGAGAAGCAGCAGAAGGTAGCGCGCATTGTGCTCTGTGAATGGCGTTACGCAGAGTGTAGCGCCAAAAAATAAAATGATGTGAGTTATGTCACCTCTATACAGAGGGGGGGGGGGAGAGAGAAGGTGCAACTGTGCACATCACGGAGAAGAAGAGCGCGCCGTTGTCCTCTACGAAGTGAGGGTACATGCCAAATAATTATGGTGTTAATTCTAGCACAGGAGGGGAGCACGGAGCCCCATGAGTCAATGCACTATGAGGTTAAACTTAGGGACGTGACGAGGCATCAGGAACAGAATGGATTTGAGTGACCCGCCTCATATTATAATTATTCAGTGATATTGAAGTAGCAGCAGGGGAAGCTGAGAAAATTCACAACAAATCCCATCCGGTGCTTATGTTCACATGGGGCTTGGCATCACGAATCTCAATTGCCTCGCGCAGTTTGCGACGGGCTCGATCAGGCTCTCTTCCTATTACTTCAACTGCAGAGAATGCACTTTGCCCATAGTTAAGCTTACATCCAGGGTGAGTGGCACGAAAATGTTGGCCCCATGGCTTGTCGAGTTCCTGGCGTCTTGCCTCACCATTATGTTCTTCCAGGCGAGTTTCCAGAAAGCGGCCAGTCTCACCAACATATTGTTCCGGACATTCTTTGCACTTCAGCTGATATACAACATTCTTCTGTCGTCTCGCGCTGGCGTTGCCATCCTCGTCAACAAGAAATTTTCAAATAATGTTCTGTCGTACCAGTTCCACTCTGACCGAGTTGTATCTGTACGAATGGTACTCAGCCCGCGACCTGACAGTCGAGCTGTCACGGTCGTGTGCTGCTATGCCCCAACTCTTCAACGATCCACCATCAACCCTCAGGAAGCTGACAACTTCTACGAACTTCTCAACAATGTTGTATTGAAAACGAAGAACCGTGACGAATTATGGATATTAGGAGATTTGAATGCTAAAGTTGGGAGTTCGAGGCCGGGATCTGTCAGCCCTGTTGGATGCTACTCTAAACACACTACATCAAACTCAAATGGATGCAGACTTGTAGAATTTTGCGAGGACAACCGGCTGGT